TCGTGCTGCCGTCGAGAACGATCTTGACCGTTTTCGTGCTGGCTCTTCTTCTATTGACGATGGCRCTCATTCTGCTTCTAGTGCTAATGCTGTTGTTGTTGCTGATGCCGGTGCTGATGCTACCTGGGACGGAGAGGCAAGCATGGCTTCCACCGAGCCTAGATTCTCGAAGAAACGGAAAACGGAACCGTCTCTAGTGACAAGCCCCGGCAGCACAGCCACCGTCCGGCCCACTCCGAAAACAAAGCAGGTGCGAAACCGAGAAGGCATTTGCCCCTCCCCTGGTCCTCGTGCTGTTGGTGTTGCTGATGATACCGTACCACAGACAGCAACGGCTACCATTGATAGTGATGCCATCAATAATCGGATAGCAGCACCTCTGCCACTGTTAAACCCCACTGCCACGAACCCAAAGCCCCCGCAGGAATTGGCACAAGCACAGCAGCAAKAACAGCAACAATCACAGCTTCAAGCACAGCAACAGGCACAGCGACAGGCACAGCAACAGGCACAGCAACGGGCACAGCAACGGGCACAGCAACAGGCACAGCAACATGCACAGCAACATGCACAGCAACATGCACAGCAACATGCACAGCAACAGGCACAGCAACATGCACAGCAACATGCACAGCAACATGCACAGCAACATGCACAGCAACATGCACAGCAACATGCACAGCATCAAGCACAGCATCAAGCACCGCAACAAGCACAGCATCAAACACAGCAACAAGCACAGCGTCAAGTTCAGGCACAGCAACAAGCACAGCGTCAAGTTCAGGCACAGCAACAAGCACAGCAACAAGTTCAGGCACAGCAACAAGCACAGCATCGAGCACAGTATCAAGCACAGCATCAAGCACAACATCGGGCACAGCAACAAGTTGAGGCACAACAACATCCACAACGACAGACACAAGTTTTAACTAACAAGCAGGAAACAACTACAGCAAYATCCAGGGAAAATAAASCGCCACGGAGAAAGCGGAAGRCAGCAAGGTTTGACGTTGATGATTGTGGTRCCGCAATGGGCATCGACCGGTTTGTAGAAATAGAGGAAGAGAAGACCAAACGGGCTCTCTTTCGCTGGATGATGGGAACGTACCAATCTTTCGATACCTCTACTGCTGGCAACCACCTAGTGCGTTCCGGTGTTAGTCCGTTGCTGTCACCGCTATTTGTGGATTTTTGTCGGACCCTGAACCCATCGTTCGAACTTCCAAATCCAAGGGTAATGAAATCGATGGAATACACAGCCCACGAAAAGCTCGTGGAGAAAATCCGTTCCTTCTTATCACCATGGAGCGAAGAGCATCGCGATAGTAGCAGCAAAAACAACACCTATGTTTCGRTTTCAGTGCATCGGATTCGGGTGGTTCGAACCCTTGAGCCTGGGTTCAACGACCAAGACCAAGGAGACGACGGGGGCCGGGGGCAGACAACTCCAATGACGGTAGCACGGACACCGAYATCATTAACTCCTGCTTTGGCTAGCCACGCGTGGAATGGGAACAGTAACAACATAAGAAAGGAACCATATGCACGCCAAAGCCTTGCGCCGCTGCAATGGACGGGGGACGGGGSAAATGCAGCATCGAGGGTATCGGACAAGGGTACGATATGCACTACAACAAGAGAACCAGTCGCAGGGCCTGCAGTTGATGGGTATGTTGAAACCGCATTGCCTCGACATGCGACGGCAATCTCGGAGCATGAGTATGATTTGACAAGTGCTYGTAGTCGCCCCACAGCAATGACAACAAYGGTAACGACAGGAGCAGACGAAAGAGACTCACTCGAGAGGTACTTGCCGCCGTTGCATTCAAATATGTCGGGAATCTCAGAACATGAGTTTGACTTAGAGAGTATGCATAGTCATCGCACAACAGCATC